AAAAGCCAGGTAAGCACCTACTGACCTTCATCACGCTTCTAAGCATCATCAGCTTTGCATGCTCAAATAAACATAATGTAAATATCATATTGCTGCTGTTTGTGTTCTGAGGATTTTCATACCTCAGAACATTTCGAGCCAGCGTAGAACTCGCCTGTGACCTAGTTGGTTTTATCCTCTGAAACACTTTGACATTTGCTGGAGCTAATCCAAACATGTTTTCTGTTTTGTGGAATAATAACAAAATTGCAGATGTTCTGATTAGCACAGGGAGAAGCCAAGTGCTCACTTTGACGTTAGCACATCTGAAGCCTGTTTTGCTGTCAATGATATCAGAACTTCTGAGAGTTATTGTATTTCCAGCAGGATCAGAACTTCTGGTCTCCCCACTAACAAACTTTTGTCTTGCAGTGCAGGGGGGTCAGAACTTCTGATTTCCCCACTAACAGGTTTCTGTTTTGCAGGTGCCAGAGTCAGAAGTTCTGACTCATACAGTTTAACCAAAAGGTTGATCATCTGGTAGCGGATCTGAGCCAGAACTTCTGATGACCTCTCAGCAGCGCGCTGGCTCCCTCTCTTTTTCCCTCTATCTTGTTTTTGGCTATTTTCTTTTTTGTCTATTTTTCTCGTTGAACCACCCCCATGTACAAATGTGTATCCCCACTCCCTAATTGTTGTAATAGCGTAGGATTTTATATTTCCTCTTTTTATTGCTAGTAATTAGGGTGTGTATGGCAAGATAAAATCAATGAAATAGAAAATCCCAATTCAAAGATAAACTCTTGTATGCAATAAAACACACTTGCACACTAACACCCCTAGGGTTACATCCACTTGTTGCCTTCAAAAATGGGCCATGTTACGCATGCAAAGTATCTTGGTAAAACAAACAAAATCAAAAGATCATAGTCCCTCGATGACGTTATCCAAAGTTGCCTTACAAAATGATCTTAGTCCCTTAAAAGAAATACTAAGATACTTTGCAACATTGCTATCATGGTCTACACGATGACCCGCGCCCGTCCCGTTCGCATCCTAACGCAAGATTGTCCACCAAATACAATGGTGGAACAAAATTGTTAAAAGGGTTAAAACATAGCAATGATCTTTGAGAAATTTAGAGTAGACAAACTCTTGGTTGCTTGCTAAACTTGCAAAATAAAAACACTTGCCTATTTTTCAAAACCACACATCATAAAATACTTTCAAAACCTCTTTCAAAAACATTGAAAACTTTTCAAAAGACATACACCTTCGTATACATCCCAACATGGATCATTACAAAGGTTTCCACCACATTGGCCTCTTTTCAAAACATTTTCAAACCCACACACAAAGCACCATTTCAGACAATTGAAAATGCAAGGCAAGTGATCTAAACAAGTAACTAAGATCCCATGGATAACCATGGATAGAAAGGGTGCTAATACCTTCCCTTTCTATAATCTACTCCCCGAACCCAAGAAAACATCTCAAAGGTTTTTTGCTGTGCTTTTTAAACCTTTCCTTAGGATAAAATAAAAAGTCAGTGGCGACTCTTGCTCAACGGAAACATTTGCAAAAACAAATGCAAAACCTCAAGTCAGTTCTCCCACCGTATCACACATACCTTTATCATTTGTTGAGAGTCCCCTTTGGCTGGTCTCTTTTCAGTTGTGAGTTCGCCTTTGACTGACATTCTTTTATTATGAATACCGATTCGGCTGGTATCTTTTAAAATCCCGCTTCGGCTGGTACCCTTTGTCAAAGTCCCTCTTCGGCTGGTATTTTTCAAAATCCCGCTTCGGCTGGTATCCTAAAATCCACCTTCTGCTAGTACCCTTTGTCAAAGTCCCACTTCGGCTGGTATTTTTCAAAATCCCGCTTCGGCTGGTATCTTTCAAAATCCCGCTTAGGCAGGTATCTTTCAAAATCCTGCTTCGGCTGGTATCTTTCAAAACCCCGCTTCGGCTGGTATCTTTTGTTAAATCCCGCTTCGACTGGTATCTTTCAAAATCCCGCTTCGGCTGGTATCTTTCAAAATCTCGCTTCGGCTGGTATCATTTGTTAAAATCCCGCTTCGGCTGGTATTTGTTAAAATCCCGCTTCGGCTGGTACCCTTTGTCAAAATCCCGCTTCGGATGGTATCTTTCAAAATCCGGCTTCGGCTGGTATTTTTCAAAGTCCACCTTCGGCTGGAATCCTTTAAAATCCACCTTCGGCTGGTATCTTTTAAAATCCCGCTTCGGCTGGTATCTTTTAAAATCCCGCTTCAGCTGGTATCTTTCAAAATCCCGCTTCGGCTGGTACCCTTTATTAAAATCTCGCTTCGGCTGGTATCTTTCAAAATCCCGCTTCGGCTGGTATCTTCCAAAATCCGCTCTGGCAGGTATCTTTCAAAATCCCGCTTCGGCTGGTATCCTTCAAAATCCCGCTTCGGCTAGTATCTTTCAAAATCCCTCTTCGGCTGGTATCTTTCTAAAAAAGTCCCGCTTCGGCTGGTATCTTTCTAAAAAAAAACCCCGCTTCGGTTGGTATCATTTGTTAAAATCCATCGTCGACTGGTATCATTTTTCAGGAGTCCCATTTGTTTGGTCTCTTCCCTCAGTAAGTTCACCTTCGATTTTTGTTTTCTTTGTAAGAGCTTTCTTCGGTCTGTCTCTTTCTTACGTATCTGATACCGACCACAGATATGTATCTTTGATATCTCTTTTGTGCGTATCCGATACCGACCATGGATATGTACCTTTGATACCTCTTTTGTGCGTATCCGATACCGACCACGGATATGTATCTTTGATATCTCTTTTGTGCGTATCTGATACCGACCACGGATATGTATCTTTTCTATCTCTTTCTTACGTGTCTGATACCGACCACGGATATGTATTTTTGATGTCTCATTCTTGCGTATCCGCTACCAACCCCGGATATGTGTCTCTGATACTTTTTTTGGTATGTCTGCTACAGACTTCAGGAATATATCTTTTGATATCTTTCTTACAGGTGTTTGTTACTAAATCCCAACAGATGTTCCTTGATAACCGAGTTATTCTGCTGTGTGTCAAACCCTGGTTAAACATACATCTAACCTGATAACCTCTTTTACCTAGCAAAAAAAAATAATATATATAAAATATAGAAAACCAAAAATAATAATACCTGACTGACTCGGGAGCATAATTTTCGGGTTCTTTTAAGTATTTAATCTTCTTCCATCTTGAAAGTTCGAAAGGCTGACGCCAATCTCACCTTCAGGTTGAAGACGATTAAATAGGGGCAGCTATTGCACCCCAAAATTTGCCCTCCTAATTTATTTTATTTTGGCTTAGACTTTTGTATTCATCTGCATCTATTTCATTAGGTCACTAACATGGCATACATTTCATCCAATATAGCTCTTTGGTTCAAAGTTTCGTGGTTATGCTATATTAGGATTTCGTAATGGTTAAGGCGTTTGTATCCAATAGAGACTGATTTCTTATTCAGGTAGTGAGAAGTGGAATTAGGGTTGTGACTTTGTTCGTTGAGGATTTCTTTCTTAATCAAGCCGCTAGGCTATCAGGGTTTATTTCCCCATATGTGATCAAAGCCACGTTTTTGGCAATTGTGTTCCAATCGGGTTTTTCGTCAAAAATCATGAGATTAAGGTTTGTTCTTATTAAGGGACTTTCTCAGAAAGCTTTATATTGTGCGTCAGGAATTATCATCTTCAAGAAAATTTCTTAAGGATTTTAGCCTTACATTTTCAAGTAGACATGTTTGTGACTTGAATTACAAAAGTTGAAGCACAATATAAGATATGACGCGGGAGAGTGCTAATTGAGTTAGACAAACATGAATAAAGGCTTTGATTTTGGGCAATTGCAATATATAGAGGTTGTTGTCTGGACTGAGTTCACGCATGAATATTATTGATTCGATTGAATGTTATGACATGTCTTGAGTTCAAGACTAGTTCATTAAATATGCAACTTGGTTGGAATTCATTCGCCAAGTCATGAAGTGAAGTGCTTAAAGGATAATCAAATGGTACTAAAGAAGTCTAAGCATTGGTTTATTTTCTAGAATTCGATTTAAGCGAGTTTGGAGACCTTAATCATAAGGGTTTATTGGAATGCAAAAAGATGAGATACAAATGACAAGGCATAGTCATTCATTATAATTCCATTCAAGTGGTTATTTTGATTCAAGTTGTTATTTCCAATATTATTCCACATCATTGTTCGTCCCAAGGGCTCATATGTGTTACAAATTCCATTGGAAAATAATCAAAAAACATAACTCAAAGTATCGGTTTATGACTCCCTTATGGCCGATTCAAGCATGTAGATTAGAAAGCCCATTTATATGGATGTGTTCTACTAGAAAGACATTCAAGTGGATCAATATTTTTGCAAGATGTATCCATAATGCAAAATCTCATTCAAGATTGAATTCAGTCGAGGTAAGCCATTGATATGGCCATATTGCGCAAAGTTTGTATTTAATGATTGAGTCAAGTCTACATAGCATTATGTTTATCTTGGTTAAAGGTTCGAGTTTCGACTATTCAAAAACCATTATAAAGATTTCAATAGCCATTACAAGTTATGTCCAAATATCCATTCAAACTTCAAGGTTCACATTTAAAGTTCATAAAGATGGCATACAAAGTACAATAGCATCATTACAAAAAAAATTACACAGAACATTTTCATCCAAAAGTTACTTCATGCGAAACTCCAAATTCTAGCGAAAGGCTTCGAGCATATCATGTATAAGGCTATAAACTTGTTGCTACTATGTTGAGCCATCAAACCAATATGTGCAGCCCATTGGCATCTGCGGTACACAAGCTGCTGTAGGAATACCTACAAACATCAAATTTATTCATTAAATTTGGATTCCCAAACCTACACATTCACAACAAAAAAACCAAAGTCAATACAAGCAATCGTGCCAAAAATAGGTCCACATCATTCAACTAACTGCAATTGAAAGAAAAATCAGAAAAGGGGAAGGGGAAACCTAGTGTACCTATGGGGAATTTGGAGTTCGATGATGGTTTGAATGAGGAAGCTGGTGCCCTTAATTTACAGCTTGCTGGACATGCTTCACTGGTGGTGGAAAGGGAGATTGCGAGCTGGGATGGTGTGAATGAAAAGCAAAGTAGCTGGAGGTGCTTCAAATCGAGTTGTTTGTCAGGTTAAAGACTGTAGTGCAGATCTGAGCAGAGATAAGGATTATCACAGACGTCATAAAGTTTGTGAGATGCATTCTAAGGCTACTAGGGCACTTGTGGGGAATGCAATGCAGAGGTTTTGTCAACAGTGTAGTAGGTTTCACTTACTTCAAGAGTTTGATGAAGGAAAGCGAAGCTCTCAGAGACGCTTGGCTGGCCATAATAAACAGAAAAGAAAAAAACCAAAATAATTAAGTAAATAACTTTCAATTTCATTCAAATCTAAGGTCAGCCCATCTAGTATAACTAACTGTTATCAAAGATTCCACTGGTAGTTACCAACAGAAAACAATTTCCTAACTGTCAAACCAAGTTTTTCATAACAGCCCTGCAATAAAACAGTGTACTAATCCAACAGAATACCCAACTTCCTAACAACCTCCTAACAGAATTCCTAACAGTTTCTAACTACCTAACTAACTCCCATCTCTTCTAACCAACTCCACAGAAAATCTATATAACAGGGGGATTGACTCTTAGATCCACAATTTTTTTTATTCACCAAGAAAAGACAATCAGGATTCACACAGAAGAAAAAGGCAGGAGTTCTTACTCTCCTCTGCAACTTCAAATTCTCCCTGCACAATCATCATCTTTGAAATGCCCCTTCAATCATTTACTTCATCAACAACACAACATCACACAACGCTCTGAATAAGAACAGATTGCGCGTATCTGAATCACACATCAACGCAACGAAAACTCAGAAATCGCAAAAGCAAAAAAATCAAAAATAGAGAACAGAAAACAGAAAAGGAAAAATTCAAAACAGAATGGCTCACCTCTTTTAGATTCATTCTTTATTCTCCCTCAGAAAAAAGATACACCTTCAATTTCCCTTCAACCCTATCTGAAACTCCCTTCAATTTTCTCTCTGCAAAACTTTACATCGCATCCATCTTCATCATCATCTCTTCACTTTGACCGAATCTTCATCACCGCTACAACTTTTGCTCAGCCTTCTGTTTCACCTCTACTGCAGCCTTGTCAACTATTTCACACGACTATCATCCTCAATTCAATCCTTCAGCCTCTGCAACAACAAAAATGTGCCATTGTTTCAAACATAACACATAACGACATAGAACATCACAGAAGCGCATATTGTTCACAGAAGGAATTTTAATTGGAAGATAAGGTATAAAAGGAAGAAGGAGCAAATATACCTAAAGATTCTCGGTGGTCTCAATGTTTCTCTCGGTTTCAAGAATCGCTGATGGTATACTGGTTGGTAAGCCAGGATTCTTCATTTCTTTATCTTTCTCTTTGTGAGCATGTAGAAGACGATATAATCAAGATATTAAGCTACAATCCGACATCTAAATCCATCTCTAAAGATGAGAATTTCGAAGTTCTTTGTTGAGATGTGGAACAATTTGAGGTGGTGATGAATCTACGAAGGAGAGAAGGTGGAGAGCTAATCACATGAAGACAAAGGATTCACGGCGTCGCGGTGTCGGAGGAGTGAATAAGATGGAGAGAATTGGGAAACGCCGCTACTCGGTTAGGAAGGGATAATCTCACAAAGAAGTTGAAAAGCCACGAATCATGTAACCCTAATCCCTCTTCCTATTTATTTATTTCCCTTTAGTTTTAATTTTTTATTCAGTATGTTAGCATGTTAGGAGATAATAGAAAAAACCTATAAAAATGATGTTGAAATTTGTAATAAAGAAAGATGAATGATGGGTTGTTGGACCAAAACCCCCTCCTTGCCAAGCCCGAGAGTTTTATTTCTGGAATCAAGAATTTTCTTTACTAATAGGCTTTGCTCTTGGACTTTGGATATTGGGATTAGCGCCCTAGCCCTTGTAATCATCACCATTCTTCCAAGACTATGCCACTGTTTTTTTTGGTTTCATGCTAGAGGCTTGACAAAAACAGCTCTTGGACTTAATTTGATGGGCCTAGCGCCCTGCTTCATCACACCACCTGGTTTCAATTTTCACCCCCTGAGTTCCTCTATGATTTTTCTTTTAATTATAGAATATAATAGAAGTTTTTTTTAGAAATTAATTCTTTAGTTTTTTTTAGAATTTTCCTCATGTAAAAACTAATAAAAAAATACTTTTTTCTTTTAGGTTTTATCCATACTTTTCACATCGCTTCGCCATGTTATTGTTAACGCGTTTGTTCATTGTGCAAGGTACTTTTTTTGTGCTCTCGATCATGTAACATAACAGGTAGTTATGTGATCGAAGCATACGGCTTATGATCGCTTGCGATGCGACACGCCTTATTTCTCATCGTCCTGAGAAATTCATATCGTATTATAAGTTATCCTGATACATATGATATTTTGCACCAGAATTTATTATTACGTGCCACATTCACAACATGCGTTTGCCTTTATCTTAGTTGGATAGTGCTTCTGACTCTGTTTGTTTCTTGGTGAAGCTTGCTCGACGCATACTCCCTACTTTTTCAGCGCTTTCGTCTGCTCTTGACGACTTGCTGACTTTGGTAGCCTCCGCTACTACCCTTGCACCTCATTTCGCACTTTAGTGCATTTCTTTACTGCTTGCTAATATTAGATAGAATTCCTTCGAGAAACCGAATCTTATGACCACCAACGCATGATAAAATTAGGTTTAGAAATAGGCTATTCTTCATGTGACTTTCTTTCCCCCTTTTGCATACGCATCTAAAACAAAAACTTCTTTTTTTTAAAAACTTCAAAATACTAAAAATTTGATGACGAGAATCATATCTTCGTTAAGTATGCAAGACGATAAGCGGGTTTCTTCTCGACCTTATTATTCTCTTATTATAAGCCTTGGTATGGTTCAAGTCTCAAAGACTCATTTCACAAATAAGTAGAGACATGGATAAAATCTCTCCCTTGAGATTAACTAGCTATTATCCACAAGCGAAAATATCGACCAATACAAACTCTTTTTGCCTTCGGGCCTTCCATGCAAAATTCTTTTTAAAAAGAACATGTTGATTCACTTCTGTGCTGACGCGTAAATCTCCAAAGGTCGAGTTGCGAAAGAAGGCGAAATTAATATCGTTCATTTCAAATACAACCAAATTCAAACTTTGGTGCGCCCAGGCACATTTTCTTTAAACCTTTTCAAGAGAGGATGTTAATTCACTTCTGTGCCGACGCGTAAATCTCCAAAGGTCGAGTTGCGGCAGAAGGCGAAATTAATATTGTTCAATAAAAAATACAAACAAACAAAAACATATAAGCCGAACTACGGCTGCTCTGATTCCTTAAAAAGGATACGTAGGCATCGGGGTAGGGCCCGAACGAGCACAACTTTTATTTTCCCTACATTTTTCCCCTTTCTTTTGCATGCATTTTCCCTTTAGTAGTAATAAACATTAAGCATAGATTAAACACGCCCATAAGATAGACAACAAAAGTGGATACCATAGAGTACTACGGGCGTGTGGGGTGCTAATACCTTCCCCTCGTGTAACAGACTCCCTTACCCTTATTTCTTGGTCGTTCGACCTCGATTTCACCCTTTTCAGGTTTTCTCGATGTTTACCTTTCCCTACCCGTGGGATAAAAGACGTTCGATGGCGACTTCATTGTTTGATGATTTTCAACCGGTTGTTTCAACTGCGTCAGTGCCAAGATTGATGACTTCAATGGCTTCTTGATGAGGCAAGATCATTTTCTTTTCTTGTTTCAACAGCCTTGCCAATTCTTCCGGAGTTTCACAATCTTCCCCACTACCCTCATCGGCTTGGTCATTCGGATTTCCAAGGATATTGGTGCAAGGAACTGTAACATCACCGTTTTTTATGGAATTTGAGGCAGACCAGCATGATTTGATGAATCATGCCTTATTTTAGAATATGGATGCAAATTGGAAAATGGTTAAAGAGTTAGAAAAAAAATTGCCATTTTATTTTACGAAAATAAGAAAAGATAGAGAGCAAACATTGTATGCGAAAAAGACATTTTATTCAATTTTTAAACAAACATAGAAACATGAGGGGCCCTTTTCACAAGCCATCAACATGCTTCGGGCAAAAGCATGCGACTTATTTAAAACAAGAACATTACATGTCAAAGAAAACCACTTCGGGAATATCAGTGGCAGTCCTATTGCTGAGCTCTTGATCAGGCGCAATATGGTAGATGTACTGAGCCATATCTACATCGTCTTTATCATCAATTGTATGGATCTGTCCTTGGGCCTCCGGACCGGCCTTAACAAATACCTTTGAAAGCGGAGGAACTTGTTTTCCCTTGAGCATAATTGGACTCGTACCAACATGGTTTGAAAACGGGGACCTGAACCCAAGTCCAGACTTGTCCTGCTTTTCATGCACCTCTATCACTTTGCCCCAGTCTCCATTAGGGACTCCAGATTCCACAATAGCCTTGGCATCTCTCAATGAAACCATCGGAACTCCAGACTTCTGTGTATTTTCCAGCATGGTGGGGACTCTGTCAACAAAAACGATTTCCAAGGCCTAAAAAGGGGTTTCATGAACTTCTCCGTCTACTTCGACATAACGGAAGGAAGTAACATTGTTAATCACGACATCTTCCTCTCCGCCAATAATGACGATCTTGTCTTGGACAATGAACTTCAAACGTTGGTGCAGGGTTGAAGTAATGGCCCCTGCCACATGGATCCACGGGCGTCCCAGCAAGCAAGTGTAAGATGGACGAATGTCCATGACATAGAACGACAGGTAGAACACGTGGGGGCCGATTTTGATAGGTAAGTCAACTTCTCCTTCTACAGATCTCCTCGACCCATCAAAGGCTTTGAATGTCAGCATACTGGGTTTCATCATCACCCCGTCCATGTTTCGCTTGAGCAGAGTATGCTTAGGCATCACGCTCAAAGAAGACCCAGTGTCTACTAAGACCCGAGACATTACAGTATCTAAGCACCTGATGGAAATATGCAGCGCCTTATTATGAGCCCGGCCCTCATGAGGGAGCTCGTCATCACTGAATCCTAGACAATTTCCTGCAGAGATATTTGTAACAACCCCCTCAAATTGGGCCACAAAGATTTCGGGATTTACATGGGAACCGTGTAGAATTCTAATCAAGGCGGTTCGATGAGCTTCAGAATACAAGAGGAGGGATAATATTGAGATCTTTGCGAGCGTCTGATTCAGTTGGTCAACCACCTTGAAGTCTCTCTTCTTGATTACCCTGATTAACTGCTCCACTTGTTGTTCAAAAGACGTCTCAGGAGAATCATTAACT